ACCTGAGGTTTGGTTTTACTCGTAGGTTGTCTCATCTGAGTGTGCCCTGAGAAAGAGATATGTCCAGCTCCTATCGGGATTTGTCGGCACATTCGGGCGGTGTTGCTGGTTTAGTTTTACCCTGTCGAAATGTCTTATTGTACCGGGATACCGAGTCTGATCGGAAAGTCTCGGGTGGAGGTCTATTCCTTCGTTGACCGTGAGAGCTTGTGATGGGCTAAGTTGGGACACCCCTGCAGGGATTGAACTTTCGAAAGCCGTGCCCGTGGTTATGGGCAGATGGGAATTTGTTAACGTCCGGTTGTAGAAAACCTGAAGTTGACCTTAATTAAAATTAATCAATTGCGTGTGTAACCGTGATGGTCTCTTTCCGGCAGTGTCCGGGAAGTGAACACAGTTGTTGGAGTTATGCTTGACGTAGGTTGTTTAGGATCACTTCTTGATCATACTTTTATCGACCGTGCTTTGCCTTCTCTTCTCGCTCTCATTTGCGTACGTTAGCCACCATATATGCTAGTCGCTTGCTGCAGCTCCACCTCATACCTTTACCTTACCCATAAGCTTAAATAGTCTTGATCGCGAGGGTGCGAGATTGCTGAGTCCCCGTGGCTCACAGATACTTCCAAAACCAGTTTGCAGGTGCCGATGAGTCCGCGCAGTTGGTGCAACCCAGCTCAGGAGGAGCTCGATGAAGATCTTGTCCTTTGTGTCGTTTCGTTCTAGTTGATCAGTAGTGGAGCCCAGTTGGGGTTGATCGGGGACCTTGTCGCTTTTGGGGTTCTTCTTTTATTTTCGTTCCGTAGTCGGACCCTGATTGTATTTGGATGATGTAATGCTTTATTCATTTATTTGGGTGAAGTGGCGATTGTAAGCCAACTATGTATCTCTTTCCTTTATGTATTACATGGGTTGTGTGAAGATTACCTCACTTGCGACATTGCTTTCAATGCGGTTATGCCTCTAAGTCGTGCTTCGACACGTGGGAGATATAGCCGCATCGAGGGCGTTACAGTTCGATCAAAAAAAGCCTGTGCAGTGTTTGATCAAAAAAATAAAATCTTGTGCCATATACAAGAATGACCGACATAGAGGGAGAGAGAATTCATTTCCTCTCCACAGAATTACATATGACATACAGAGTGACACTGGTCCTTGTTAATCACCACTATAGTAGTAGTAATTGTTGGACACAGAGTGGTCCTTTTTATCTTCAAATGGCAGTATGTGTAGTTGTTTACGATTCAATAGGGGCTGCTAGTGGTTTAGTATTAATATACGTACAACAAAGTTTAGAATCGACTAAGCAAGTGCATAGTCTACACCATGATTGGCAATCATGCATGATGCTACAAGATTTTAGAATAATAGTGGTTCATGGAGTAATATGCTTTGGACTGCTGGTGTGCCTCGTAGGATTCAACTTTTTTGTGGCCTCGTAACTTGCTTCCTGGACTAGCAATTCAGGACTGCTAGCGGTTTTCTTGCGGTGTTCTAGATTCAGGACTGTGATTTCCAATTGTGCATGATGCCACAAGCTTTTAGAACCATAGTAATTCACGCGGAATCTTATCTGGGCTACTGGTGTCTCCTGGGATTCAGACTTAGCATGACTCAGAAAAGCATATCGGGAGCTGGTCATCTATTGTTTGGACTAAAGAATCATCAAGTCCTCCTGATATATGTTTGGATATTAGATGGTTCATGCATATTTCTATCTACTTCTTCTAGAATTATTGTTTTACCAAGATTCCAAAACCAGTTCAACATAGATGGCATTGTGAACATGAAACTAAATACATAACTTATCCTCTCTGTTTTCATTTTGTTTTGGAAAATCATGGGACTCTAGAAGAAAGTAGTCTGCAGGGGACCTCTAGTACTAGTGTTTCTTCTTTGCAGATAAGCATGTCGTTTGTTCATCTTTGATTCATCCTTGAACTCCTAAAACTTATGATGAGAAGAATGTTAGTAGATGCACATTTTATCTGCTTCTGCTAGTTTTCATGTGTCTGCTCTTGCCTTTTCGGAGCCTCTACACGAGGTTTTGTTTGTAGAAAAGTATAGTTGAATGGCCATCTATTTGTTTGTAGAAAAGTATAGCTGACGGTAAGTTAAGCATAGATGCACATTTTTCCTACTATTTTAGTGATAACATAATAAATAGATGGATTGCTTCTACAAGAGATTTTATCTGTAGAAAAAAGCATATAGGCTGCCTGTTCATTTATTGTTTGAATTAAAACATCCTGATGTCCTGATAAGTTTGGATGTTAGATGGATACATGCTTCTATCTGCTTCTTCTAGAATTACTGTTACCAAGATTCCAAAACTTCTTAGTGTAGCATTGTAGCTTTATTTTTACATGGTCAAACTACCTTTTGTATGTAGTATGCAACAACACTATGTTGTATATGTATCATCTTAAGAGTGTATTGAAGCTAGATTATTTTGTAGATAATTTTTTACGCTCTCTCCATGGTTAATATAAATTATGCAAAGCAATGTTTACTTTGAGTGTAACTCTAGTGCTATTCTTATTATTCAATGTACATCGATGGTGCTGTTGGACTTGTGCTAGTCAGAGGGGAGAAAGCTAAGAACCTTGGCCTTTAAGTTCTTGCAAGGATCAGAGGGTATGACGATGCTACTCAGATAAATCTTACGTCCCTCGTCATTAATCATTGTTGGTGAAAAAAATGTCATTTGAGAAATCTCAGTCCATTTTTCTTCTTAATGAAGACTTTTACCAATATTATCCTTTCCTGTGCCTCGAAACTATCAACCTGGCTCAAAGAATGATCTTTTTATTTAGGGTTCATGGTTATTTTTTCTTGTTATTATGCATTACTATTGATTCATGTGCATGTTCTAAAAAGAAAGAAAATACCCTATTGGATGCGGATGCGGATGCGAACTAACAAGTTTTCACTTTCCGACGTGGGCACAGGGGTGATCGACGTGGACTACTGTGGCCTGGTGGGCGTCGTGCTCTTCAACCACTTGGAGGCAGACTTCATCGTGAAGCCCGACGATCGCGCCGCACAAATGATCGCCCAGGTCATTGCGACGCCGGAGGTCGCCGAGGTGGAGGACCTCGACGCCACCGTCCGTCGGGAGGGACTACTCGAATCCACCGATGTTTCAACTCCGAAACTTGGTAGATGCATCTAGAGAATTGGAATAGTGGTTTGCATCTGATGTTAAATGGGATCTCGAGATCTCGAGTTGAGATGTTAAATGTTGTATCCATGAATGTTGCAAGTGCTAAGATGGTTCTGTGAACTTAGTTTATTCACACTGGACGTGTCTTGATTTCCATCCATGAATATTGCATATGACTTTTATTTTTATTTTTTGGTTAGTTAGTTGTAGCGTGGGGAAAAGATGTGGTGCTACTAGTAGTTGGATAGTAGTAGCATAGGTGTAAAGGGGGCGCTACTAGTAGTTAGATAGTAGTAGCGTAGGTTTGGAATAGTGGTAGTGTTGGTGGCACCACACTACTACTAACTTTTTTAGCTGTAGCGTCGGGTAAAAAATGTGCTACTGCTAAAAGTTTGCTATAGCGTCGTAGTAGTAGTGCGGGAACCCACGCTACTGGTATGCAAAAAACCTACGCTACTGGTAGTGTTTTTCCTAGTAGTGAATAGTTGGCGAGATGACAACGATGCTACGATGGATATCAAGATGTCAAGCCGGTGAAGATGGTGATCATGATGGTGCTTTGGAGATGGAGATCAAAGGCACAAGATGATGATTACCATATCATATCACTTATATTAATTGCATGTGATGTTTATCCTTTATGCATCTTATTTTGCTTAGTACAGCGGTAGCATTATAAGATGATCTCTCACTAAATTTCAAGGTATAAGTGTTCTCCCTGAGTATGAACCGTTGCTACAGTTCGTCGTGCCGAGACACCACGTGATGATCGGGTGTGATAAGCTCTAGCTTCACATACAACGGGTGCAAGCCAGTTTTGCACACGCAAAATACTCGGGTTAAACTTGACAAGCCTAGCATATGCAGATATGGCCTCGGAACACTGAGACCGAAAGGTCGAGCATGAATCATATAGTAGATATGATAAACATAGTGATGTTCACCATTGAAAGCTACTCCATCTCACGTGATGATCGGACATGGTTTAGTTGATATGGATCACGCGATCATTTAGATGACTAGACGGATGTCTATCTATGTGGCACCCCGGCTCAGAGCGACCGATTTACCTTGCATTGCCAACCCTGAGATCATGTCTTCTGGCAACACACAACATCTTGGTATAGAAATCACCGCTTTATTGAAACTAGCGGAAGCATAGCGTGACATTACATCAAGTTGCAAGGCCAAGCGGCACACTCGGTGCCGCTAAACAATATGTACATTATTAAGTGAACATAAAGGGGGCCTCGAGCACAACATCTACATGGCAGCGGAACAACGATGTAGCAGGACTCCATAGCATAGGGACACCGATGTGGACACGGTCTAGACATGGAAGCAGTCCGATCCAGTTAGACTTTCCTGAAATCTGGCATAACACGCCAGGTCAGTACATTGAATGTACTTGCAAGCTCACAGCGAACATAACCATAATGGCAAACAATATCATGACATTTAATCAAGTTAAATGCAAACAACATCATGCTACTCATGCAGTGAAACCAAACTTGTGCATCGAGTCACTCGGACTTTGTTACCAACAGGTTGCCTCGCAACTGAACAGTGCTCACGGCGAAGCACGAACGGAACCACACTTTGGTTCAACTCCTTACCTCGTAACCAACAACAATCAATCTCGGATCACGAGTGATACCACAACAGTCAGTCTCACTAACATCATCATAATCCAACCAGTGCAATGCAAATTACTTAGTGTGCAAATTTTATTATTAAAAGTTGATCCATGGTGTGACTTACTTATGAACTGGGCCCTTACACTACAAGAAACCTGTTAATCCGTGATGGATTCCTGGTGACGTTCTGTAAATCCGTCATGGAAACCGTCACCGACCAGCAAGATGTGCCTAGGCCCAAAAAGGGTAGCCCCTTAATGACGGACTTGGAGGTACCGTCACGAAAACCGTCATCGATCGACCAACTGGGCCTAGCTAGGCCTAGCTTCCCCCTTCATACACCCTCTGTAACAACACGAATTGCTCCTGCTAATGTGGCAGAGTCATATGAGTTACATTGTAATTTGAATTTGCAAAATTTCAAAAAAAACTCAACGATCCTAATCAAAATAGATGGAACCAAAATGAATGATGAAATATACTTATGTAGTATACAGACACGTGAGGCCAACATGAATCAAGCCTAGTACGATTCACCGGGCTAAGGGCAAAGACACCAAAATACGAAACTGATTGAAGCAAAGCGCACGAAGGAGAAAACATTCAAGTCATCTACGCGGCAAAGTCCAAAACAGAAGCGCGCGGAGGGGAAAACATTCAAGTCGTCGATGCACGGAGTTAAATCTTTTCGACCCATTTAACTCCAAAGCCCACGATCATATTGGCCACAGCCTCGCGTCTCTCCCTCGACCGCGAAAACCCTATCCACCTCCACCCAGAGCCGCCGACTCCTCTCCCTCTCACCTTCCGATTTAGATCCATGTCCAGCCTCCCTCCACGCTTGGCTGCCGATCTCCAGCGCCGCCGCGCCAACCATCTCTTGCTCCACCTCCGTCTCCCACCCTCTCTCGCTCCGCCACCACCTCCACTCTCTCCGGCTCCCCCTCCCCCTGTGTAGCCTCCTCCGTTCCGCGATGGGGCGGCCGTAGCGGCGCTCCTAGATCTATGTCAAGGGAAGCCCCCTGCTCGTCGTCATGGGCGCGGTGGTCATGAGGAAAGTGGTTTAGGACGGCTAGATGGAAGTTGAAGCCTACCCGCTGCCCAGGACAAGGATGGATGCCCTGACGCTCCCCCTTCTTCACAATCTTGCGCTGGGAGAGGAGGTGGTGGCCACTGTTTTCTTCGGCACTCCTCGGCCTTATCCACATCGCCACAGGTGACCTCGCCAGACCACTCGCTGTGAAGGTGATAAGCTCTTTCACTCTCCATTAATTGAAAAATTATCCATTTAGGATGTCAGGATAGTGCTTTGCAGTGAAATAACTTTTGTGGCTGGGAATAATTGTTTCGGAAAGATAGCAAGATGATGTATTATGTTTCATGTTTTCCATAAATGTTGATGCGACTGATATTTTTAATGTAGAGATTTATATTTACATCCTTTCTTCATCAACATGTATGTCTAATAGATATATGTGGGGTGCTTACATAGTTTCTGAGGTCGTGCTGTATTTATGTGTGTCGATTTAGTTTACAAATACATCATTGAGATGGATAAAAGTATGATGTAGAGTATATATGTAACTGAAAAGATGGGATGCTTAAAGCTGGAATAAATTGTGGAGGGAATCCTATGCAGGAGTAACTATAGTGGATACTTCTACTAAATCAGAAGATTTATTTGTTTTCTCCATGGAATAGTTTGATTAAAGTTCTAATTATTATTCTGTAGGTGGAGGAGATAGCTAAAGTCGAGGGTGTTGTTGATGACATAAAAGGTGTTTATAAAATAGAGCCTTGTGAAGAACAAAGGATACAATATAGAAAGGTCAGTTGAAACTACTTCTGTAGTACAAAATAATTAGCTAGCACTACAAACTATGCACCCTTCTTTGTCCTCATGTTCCTATCCTTGAAGGATGTTCCCTCACACATGACAGTAGCTGCACGGCCTATGAACGATGTTCCCTCCCCAACAACGCCTTTGTGAGCATGCTCGCTGTTGGCACTATCATGGCAGAATCGTGCAAGCATCGGCCATGCAGGTGTCGTGTGTATATCATTGTTGATCCTTAAATATCTTCGTTGTGCTTTTTGCATCGTCTTAGTGTGTGTGCGCTTGTTTCCATTTTTTATTTAATTTATTGCTTGCTGCAACACCTAGTTCCTCCTAGTTTGATAGAGTTGTTTGTTTTGTTCACGGTGGATGCATGCTATGTAAAATCTCAAATGGTATTTTTATAGTTACATGTCTATTTTGACAAAATGTTGATTGCTAACATTTACTCTGCATACCAATTACTTTCTACCATTCCTGATTATTCTCTACTGCTCTGTACATTTTTATATGAGAAAACACCACCCACTCTGTACTCTACCAATCAGTTTTCTGGTTTGCTTGGAAGAAAAGAACCATTACTTGAAAACCAACTATGAGATAGACTCGATCATTTAAGCTTGGTTGATAGATAAAATTCGGTTCATGTGCTGGGACAAGTGTACATTTTTTTGTTCAGTGAAGAGTGTGTTTGTGCTGTCGGTGGCGACCTCCTCTGCCGCACGCCGGCGGTGGCCGACTTGCATTGCGACCCTGGCCATTGAGCTAAACCTGATCCTGGTCCATGGTTAGTTAGGATGTTGGTGCTGTTTGGGCTCGATTAGCTCGATTTGGTGTTGTTTTAGGCTTGAGAAAAGTTGTTCTCTTGTTGAAATGAGAGGGATAAGGTAGGTGCTGCAGCTGTTGGCAATCGTGTATATGCAATGGTAGGTAACCAGAGAATGTGTTGCATTTGTATGTCCTCATGTTTAAAATTTGTGTCTGGAAGTTATTACTGGATCTACTATCCCAATAATTTTTGTTTCCTAAATCTCATGGTAAATCTGGAAGTTGCATTGCATATATGTGTATTATGCCATACTAGTAAACTTCTAAAAGCAAGTGGAGCTCAACCTTTATAATGCACTCTGCATTCTGCAGATTATGCCATACTTATTTGCATGTCATGCTATATGAACAGGCACTGTGGTTGTGATTGTTATGCTGGGAATGATGTTCCTCATGGTCCCAGTAATGCTGTTAGTATGGAAGAGGCACCGGATCCTTGTTTTCGCATTCCTTAAGCTCTTGTTGATGGAGAATAAATGGAAATAAGTGATCATCTAGTGGAGACAGAGTAAGTTACAACCTCTTTGCTCTTCCTGTTCGTAATAAGAAGGAATCCTTACTCTAGTGTCACATTTACTTGTAGCTTTTAAATTTTTAATACACAATATATATGATGCTTCCATGCTTTTCAAGTTTTTTGTAATATTGTTTTTTTCTATATTGCACCCAGAACTGAATGTTTGATTGTATCAGGCAGGTAACATTGTGAGTAGGCCTTTTGGCCTGTTTACTTTTTGATTGGATCAGGCGTTCATGTAAACATGATAGCTCCAAATCTTGTTTCAAGAGTGAGTAGTTCGCCGAAACTGCATTTTAGTAAATAGGGGTTACTTCTCAAATCTAAGAAATTTAAAACCAATCCTCATTGCTGACTGGCAGTGTATATACAGTAATGGTATATGAAGATGACCTTGGCAAAAACTCAACTTTTACCTTCGAAATATATGTACAGAATTTCCAGATCTAATCTGAAATGTCAATTAGGAAATGCTGAGCATTATCTTTGACCTTTCAAACCAACAACCTACTGTATGGACAAACACAAATCATACTACTGTCCTTTGTTTAGAAATGCTGAGCATTATTTTGTTAGTGGGTTTATATGGCCTCAACTTCTGCTACTGTAGTACTTGAGTTTTGTCATGTGTGTTTGTTAGTCGTTTGACTTTCATTCGGCACACTTCTCTCTGGTGACCGCTTCCTCTCTGAATCTTTAACCCTAAATTTTCTCTGAATTTCTTCTGTATCATGTACCATGCAGGATAACAAGTACAGACAACCTGCAGGGTACCAAGTAGAGGCAAACCGCAGGGTACAAGTACAGACACTATGGTATGTGGCCTTCTATGAAGATCTGATTCAGTTTAGATTTCCCCCCTAGGTCTTGGAGACATGATTTCTGTTACTATATGAATATGTCAACATGTTCTATTTAGAGTTTTCTCCCTAGGCATTTCTTTTTCTATCCTTGTTGTCTCCTGCAGACCGGTGAATATGTATTCCAGAAATAAGTTTAATCTAAATCTAAGAAGAAAATTACATTGTTACATTGTGGGAGTCCTACAGTAAGAATACAGAGGTTTAAACCTGTTTATTTGTGTACTATGCACATGTATTAGTCACTCAATTTATTGTTGTTTTATACTAGATACTTTGTTATTCTCATCTGTAGGGATTTCTCCTCCTATATACTCATATCTACAAATGTCTAATGTTGTTGTGAATATGGTAGGTATGTTGCTGTCCATCAGAATCCGCCATGCCATATAGTTGCCATCAGGAGGGTTGACAACAAGAACACGAGTGACAACCTTTGTAGTTATATGTTTGTCAATGTAAATTGGATTGTACCGGTTCCTAATCCTATGGATGGTTGCATATTGAGTGATTTTGTCAATATATGGTGTATATTATCATTTCATGGAGGATATTATAAACTGCTAGGTTCTACATACCTATAGATGGTTGCATATTGAGTGATTTGTGTAACATATGGTACTTTGGAAATATTTTCCTCGTCCAAAATTGGCATTATGATTTACGGAACACATTATGGTAAAGGCATATTTGATCAAAATTGGGCTGAATGTAATGGATGGGACCAAATTTAAATTGATCCTAAATCCATGACGGTTTCTGTGATGAAAAATAGTGTCCACGTAGGTAGCCACATGGCATTGGTCCATGACGAACTGTTCCATCACGGCCTAGTTTGGGCTTGGGCGGGCCTGAGGCAATTCCACGACGGCCAAGAACCGTCATGATAGCTACAATGTCAAATTATGATGCGATATACATGACGGATCTCAAGTCTGTCAAGGATGGACACGCATGACAGTTTTTGGCTGATCTATGATGGCTAAGGACTGTCATGTATTAACAGATTTCTTGTATTGTTATCCGTGGGCGCGGCTATCGATAGATTAATACACTCTGCAGAGGTAGCGCACTTTACCCACACCACAGAACCCATGGACTCGCACTCCCATTCGGGTGGACCAACGGCATTCCGACAGAACTCTCCAATTGCCATGACACTCTTACGGCCACACCGACCAACTCCCCACTGGGCTCAGTCCTGGGCGACCCAGCCTAGCAAAGGCAAAACTACCACTGTCGTGGCAAATAAACAGTCCCAAACGGGGACACGATACCATAAGAATAACAGGTCCACAAGGTTATGTCTGCTTACCGGGCCAGGGTAACGCATGCCCATAACCTTCCCTCGTTGGAGGTACCGACAAAAGGCATGACAACAGGACGTCTAACGGCCTCCCCATAAAGGCAAATGTGTCAGCCCGATTCAGTGGCACCATGACCCGACCAACTTTACATTCAAGTTCAATTATCATCAGGTTTAACTTGAAATAAAATGCTCGAGTCAATATATGCCATGCTTATGCAACCATATAATATGCATCACATATCACTTAGAAACAACAGATCAACTTCATTCAAAGTTCTACTTGCACAAACTTAACTTTCAACATTTCTATTCCTTTCTTACTTGTTATTTATACTCATCACTTTAGTTGGCATTAATCAAATAAAATTTATCTAAGCATATATATAGGAAAAATTAAGACCGATAATCATATAACCATAGTCATGGAAAATTTACTTAGATCAACTACTCAAACTATATATCACTAGTTCAAGCATTCACCTCTATTAACAAAGCATTTTGATCATGACAACCTAAATAACACAAACATTTTTTTAATACTATATACAATGAATCAATGTTCAAGAAATCGTTAACTGGTAGCTGCTCGGTAAGTTTAGGAGTAGCGATTAATCGGTGAATCGGCATATTACCTGGATTAATCGGTTGACCATTAATCGGTAGATTGAATAGAAACTATCCAACATATATCTAGATTTCTTAATGTATTATACCATACTCTCATGCTCCCAGCTATGTAGTATTCCAATGAGTTAATTACACTATTGGTACATAAACTTGGAGCGCGGGTACAATCTCATACAAAAACTTACAAAATGACTCAAATTAGCCCCTAAACTTGCTTTACGGGTACAAACCGATATAAATTAGTCCAAACCTGCCACGTCGGCTCTAGGAACTTGGCCCACATCCAGGTTAATATACAGGAACCCCCCATTGTTGTATGATGTAAATAGATCCCCCAGTAACCTAGCCAGCCTCTCTGTTCGCCACACACTAGCCAAATCCCTAGTCGTTCTCTCTGTTCTTCCCACAAATTCACACTCGACCGAGGCAGCCTTCCCCTCAAGCCAAATCCCTAACCCTTAACAGTGGCAAGGACCACGGCAAGGACTGAAGAACGTGGCTCACCGTGATGCTACGTCCTTGTTGGGGGATAGCCAACCCCCTCTTCGTAGGTGCATGGCCCATGGGCAGCAGCGGTGGCAATGTCGGACCCGATGGCGGCCTTGGCGACGGTTGTACTAAAGAATGGTGGGTGACATCTGAGCTTCATTTCGGCCCAAAAAATCCAGAGGTGCTTTTCTATTCGTAATTTCTTGTGTCCAATAGTATGAGACTTTGAGCAGAACTCAACAATTTTTTGTAGAGTCAAATGCAAATGACCACCAAGTATGATTTTGATGGGTTTATTCCACCATTTGAGTATTGCCCTGACTTTTGTGACATTGAGAAGGAGAATTGTGGGCATTTTTGTAGCCCTGTTCTTAGAGTTTGTACATAAGGATTTGACGCACGGTGCAGGTTTCTAGCCTGTTCATCTGAGGTATGTAAAATAGTGGTAGTGAAAAGATTTAAACAACACTTGTTTCAGTCACAAAACTATGAAAGTAATCACATCACAAGATTATGAGCACACAACAACAACTCCACTGTAGCAGAACACTACTTTCTGCAACTCTGAACATCACACCCAACACCGGTGTCAATACGCAATGACAAGCGGGCGGAAATACCACAAAACAATGCCTTTCATCTACCGACGCCTGATTATCAACCATACGCACCATAGAAAAGCCACATGTGGGTGAATATACCACCGATCAAACCGGATGAAAACCATAGAGATAAGAGATGCCAATACAGGGGACAATCCAATATAGAAGAAAGAAGGTAATTTTTCATACTGTAGTCCGGTGGAAACTCGCCAATGCCGTGAGGACGCGGCTCCATCCAGCATCGATCTCATCCCGGCGACCATCGCACCATCGACAACAAGAAACAGAAACGCGAAAGAGCCGTTGAGAAATGAAAACCAAGGTGACCGGTGCGTGCCTCTCATCTGACGGGTAGGTTTTAGACTAATTTGTATCAGCGTGTTCCAGCAAAGTACGTTTAGGGGCTTATTTGAGTCAATTTGCAAGTTTTTGTATGAAACTGGACCCGCGCTGCAAGTTTATGTACTAATAGTGTAATTAACTCCAAACCAAATATGCTGCCATACACATATGAAAAGCATAGAGAGGAGGTAAAATTATTAATCCTATCCATTAAGGAGCAGCATGGGGCCGGAAGTGGTTATGGGACAAAACTTTTGGCTTTATTTTCCCACCAGTTAATGGGCCAGAAGGGATTAATCGGCATGACAACTGATTAATCAGTCTAACTGGCAAATTAATCGGCCTGACAAGTTAACGTGACGAATAGGGTTATTCGATTCGGCCATGCTATGAGTAGGGATTAACTGGCCCGTTAACTGATTAATCGGGTGAATTCTTGAACAGTGTAATGAATAACATAATAATTCAAGTAGAAAATCATGAATATTACAAATACACCGTCATAATGTTGTTGTGGCTTGCCTTAGTGCAGAGGAGCTTCACACTCCTCCTAGATGCCTTCAAGACAAGCTTCGCCTTCTGAAAATAATTCGAATGACAAAAACAAAATATCAAGAACACTTCTAAAAATTACCATAAATTCTAGGCAGCAAGGAAAAATCCCATCTTGGGTGTGCTGCTAGGATTTTCCAGTAAGAACAGAATGCAAAAAGAATCAACTCATTTGGACTTGTAGAATAAAATTTATAGTTAGTCCAAGTTTTGGTCAAATTTGAATTATATTTGAATTAAAAGATAAACCAGGGGGTGACGTCGAAGGCGTAAACCGACTGGGCACCACCACTCATATTGCTTCGGTCGCGGCCTGAGTGGCTGACAGCGGGCCCCAGCGATCAGGTCGGAGGGGGAGAGAGAGGGAAACAGAGCATGGCGAGGCTCCGCCGGAGCTCACGCTGGCGAGGAGGGCTCCTGGGCCAGATCCAAAGGGGTAGGATTGGAGAGGAGATCGAGACGCACCTGCCCATACCCGTAGCGTGGCTAGGCGTGATCGGACGGGGATAAAACGGAGCTCTCCAGCGGCGGCAGCAGGCGGGGTTCATCGGAGTTAGCGATTCCGGTGAGGCAGGGCCGGTCTAGCAGCTCCAACGGCACCAACACGCACTAGTGAACCACCACGGATACGCCGGAGAGGCTGGTGGAGCTTGAGCGATTCTCGAGAGGGAGGGGGCAGAGGACGGGGATCGCCGGCGAGCTCGGGACAGGAACGATGGCCAGAGGCCTGCCCGGCCGGGTTGCGGCTTCCTACGATGGTGTGGAGGTGTGTTGAGTGTGTGTGTGGAGAGAAACGAGCTCGGTGAAGCTCTATTTATAGGCGAGGCCGAGGCGGGCATCACGAGCTCGCCGGAGCTCTCTGGAGTGTCGCCCGGCGATGAATGGCATCAGTGAGAGGGGGAAGACGCCGGAGATCACGTGGAGGCTGTAGACGAGCTGCGACGAGCATAGGAGCGCAGTAAGCGACGAGCATAGTGCCACGGGCGCACTGTTTCCTTGGCCACGCCGTGCCCGTGCTCGCTGCGGTGAGCTCCGGCATCGGCGAGTGCTAGGGTGGAGTTATGGAGGTGAAAACGAAGATGGGGGCACGGTTTGGCATGGTGCGGCGATCGGGGCAGTGAGCACGCGCGCAACAGAGATGCTGGCGCACCGCAAAGCGCGTCGGCCGCATACCAACCACCTTGGACGAACGTGGTCACCGCGGGAACTTTGGAATCAGGCTTAGCTAAGCATAAACACCATGTCTGGCAGCTAGTCCTTAGTGGTTTTGGTTGTTTTGCTCGATTAGGTGGGTCACAGGTGAACTGTGGGAGTGGCTTTCTTCCTGGCAAGTTTCTGGACAGAAACTTGTGAGCTTCACTGAGATAAATTTAGTGAGAATTAAATGTTGTTCTTTGGGGTTTAGTAATCTCTTAGGACGGCAATCAAGCTCAGAAAAGATCAGCCCCAAAAGATCAAGTAAAAATATACTTGCTGTACAAAGTGATCATTCTGTCCAGAACAGAAATGATTTTCTGTAGCAAAAGAATTACAAAAAGTTATGCAATATTTTTGCTCAGGAAGGTGCCCAAGGGTTCAAAGAATATTTGTGAATTTATTCAGAATTTTTGGAGTAAGAAAACTAGGGGTTGCTTTGGAGCATACTTCTCTGATGTGATTTTCAGGGAAGAAAATGAATATTTTTCTTTTATGAAAAATATTCTTTGGTCTTTTGTTGGAGTTTTTCAGAGAAGGAAAAGTGAATTAGAGGTGGATAGGTCACTTGGGTGAAAATCAATTGTAGGCCCAAGTGTTCAAGTCCATTTGAATTGATTCAAAACTCCAAATCCAAAGCAACTGCAACTAAAAGTCCGGAGAAAGAGAGAAGGCAAATCCAGGCTATCACAAACCTCCCCCACTTAAGATGAATCTCGTCCTCGAGATTTGGTTGCTTGGGAAAACAATTTTGGGTAGGTTTTCCTTAAAA